CATTCCTGCTGAAGCTACTCCACTTAAATACTCACCAAAGGATGGACTTGAACCCAGCTCTTCAACAGAAGCCTAGAATGTTACAGTCTCTGCTGTGCAATCAGTCTCATTTGCAGGGGAACTAATTGTTGCTACTCAATGAACAGCTTTTACAGGAAATAAAGCCTTGCAAGCTTCCAAACAAAAGCTCTGGAAGCTGTTTAATTTATGTTGCCATTTAATTGAATCTCATATACCACAGTAATAACATATTTGGCCCTTTTATGGTAAAATCATGTTGTTATCTTGCCACTCAGCCATGCCAAACCTTAATTGTGTGAGTCACTAACTCCACATGACTCCTTCCTCATCTTTTCCTGCAGCATGCAGCCATCCAGCATTCCTGCAGCCTCTGCCCTGCTCCTTGCTGCAGTGCCATACAGCACAAGGCATGGCAGAGCAGCCTCTTCTTCCCCTCCTGAGCCACCAGGTCATCCTGATACCTTGGAAGAGGAGAAACACAAGATGGTTGCTTTCCTTGCAATCAGTAAGATGAGGAAAGAAGCACTTTGGTTTTGGCTGTTCCTGCTGTGATCTTGCCTCTCAGAGTTTACTCAGAGTGAGTTTCCTTCACCTGGGTTGGAGGACACTAAATGGGCACCAGCAGCTGTAGTGGAAGGCAAGGAGCAGCACTGTCTGCAGCATTGATTTTCTATATTCTGATTACAAATACTGAGGCATTTTATTTTGTTTTCTCCAACATGCATGAAAGAAAGTGAATTTTGTTAAAAGCACTTTTTTTTTTTTTTTTCCCCAGCAATGAACATAGCTCAGTTGGCAGCTCCCTTGTGTTTCCTATGATGCAGCACAGTTCAAACTGTTCAGCACTTACGGGGTCAGGTCTGGCTCTTGGGGTCATGCTTTCACTATAACCCAACCAATTTTATGTTCTTTTAAAACAGAAGAGCCCTCCTCATCTTTGAACCCACTGCTACCTGAGCCAGCAAAGTGACAGCTTGCATGAGGGGGCAGGAGGGGGCTGGCATGGACAGGGCCCCTTTGTAGCCACTACTCAGGTGGGGATGCAGGGTGTGTAACTCAAGCTTAAAACTTCCAAATAGTTCTTCAAAACACCTAATAAAATTTCAGCTAGCCAATCTCAACATTCAACCGAAATGTGGGAGCAGGTTTTGTTTACTTATAAACAAGTAAAGTAATTACAAATCATTTTAGAAAATCATGAAGTTAGAGTTAAGATAGTAATTACACCACTGAAAAATTATGAATGTGGGTACAGAGAACATCTAATCACTAGAAGATGTTCTTTCCACTTTCAGCTTGACTTTCTTGATTGTTTTCCCAGTAAGGAAAGCAATGATATAAGAAAGTTTAATAACAGAACAACAAAACAAGGAAATAAAAAAGTGGAGTAAGTCTCACATCATATAAACTTACCATAAAGATGCATATCAAGGATTAGGAAGTAGCAAATAATTTAAGGCTCAATCGCCCAAGTCATTAACTTTTAATATGAAGTTACTTCATATCTCACCACATTGATGTTTTCATCTCCTAGAATAATAACAATTTTGCTGAATGACTTCCTGCATATCAGCTGCTTTTCTTTTGTGAGCACACAAAGGAAATACAAAAGTGTTAGAAAAATATTGCAGTTGTGAAAGAAAAAAAAAGCATTTTATTTGCATTTTTCTATTAGCTAAAAGACCTAGAGTATACAAAGTTTTGTCTGTTTGTTTCAAATTTTATACATCAGGTATTCTGAAACTTCAGGCAGACTACAGACCTGTCTTACCTTCTGGATTATAGAGCAAATATAAAACTTGCCCTTAAGCAGAAACTGTGCTGCAAGCACAAGAAGCTGCCAGCTGTGGGGACTAAATATCTGCTATTGTAAGGCTTTGTCCTCAACATTTGTCAGGAGATGCTTGAAGAATATTAAAAACACAGGCAGCCCCTGCTTTTGTGTGTCTCAAGGGCGCAGAAGAGGCAGGAAGGTGCTTGTTAAAGCAATACCATCTAGTGGCAGATGCAGAAAGAGAATCCAATCCCCCAACAGGAGCAGAGCTGGAAAGGTGAAAACTGAAAAGACATTATTTAAAAACAAACCCACCTGCTTGAGAGTATTTTTTAATTATTTGTTTCCATGGTAATATATCAAAAAGAATGACATACAAATAAATATCTATCTGTTCTGTGAACCTATACACCCAGAAAAGATGTTTCATGAAAGATGAAATGATGGATTGGCTAACTCTGGAATGCTCCATGATAGTCCAGGCTGAAAACCCAACAGAGCATGTTACACAGTTGGCCACCCATCTTCTGTGGGAACAGAACCACAGTGACATTAATGCTTGGGTTGGCAAAGAAAGCATTTATCTGGGCTTTATAAAGCTATATTCCCTGTTACTGCACATCCCAAGGTAAGTTAGAGCAAAGAGCTCAGACACCCCCATTAGCTAATGGAACTTGGAAGTCTCACAGTGTAATTTTCACCTCTCTCTAGTATTGCTGTCATTTTGCAAAGAAAACATAGGGCTGCTGATGGAAGTGGCTGCCTTCCACATGTATTGTGTAATTCATGTGGTACCTGCATAAACAGAGTGGGAAAGATTTAATTCCTGCAGCTGATATAGGTCAAACAATACTTACCAGTTTCAGGTGAAACTCTAGATACTGAAGGAAACAGACACTTTTTCTGTAGAGGCAAATGTAAACAAAGTCTTACAAATTATATGCAGTTTAATCAGTATGTGACTTTCTATACCCCTGCCCAGACAAAAGGTGCTGACTACAAAATGGATAGTGTCAAATTTTTTTGCAGGTTGGAGGGGGTACTTTTCCAAAAACTAGTGTGTGTTAGCACAAATGCAGGGAAAACATATCCCCTTCCCATTGCTATTTTGGCTTTATTTAGCTGTGGAAAATGCAGAAGGTTTTTGTGAAGATGGAGAGTTATAGGGGTGGTGTTTCTGATAGCCTCATCCTCAACCAGCGATGGGTTCATCTTGTTGCCAGGTGACATTGACTTTTCTGACAAAGGGGAAGCTTCTGGTATCTTCTTAACCTCCACCAAAACCTTGCCACAAAACCCAATACAGTACAGAATTATTTAAACTCTAATACAGTGGCCATTAAACAATTTAAAAACAGCCATGACAATTAACTTTGATATTAACAGGAATATCCAATACATGAAAGGAAACTCACAGTCTAAAAGAGACCACAACAAAGCTCTTGAAACAGAAGAAATCTTAGTATTGGTAAGGCATTACAGGAGTTTCAGTGGGGTCTTTAACTGGTGGACTCTTTACACTGCATGGCCACAGTTTCTGGTTTTGAGCTCCCCAGACACGACCTCATTCCACCAGTTCATGGGCTGTTTTCATTGCACCCTCTCCCTGAGGGATTGTTCCCATTCCAAAGTGCAGAGACATCAAACCAGCACCTGGCTCTGGCTGTGCAGACTCAGACTCTTTTCTCACCAGGAATGTTGTTATGGATCAAAGCATTATCTTCAGAGGTCTTCCAATGGATGGACTAAGGCTCAGCTCATTACCTCCAGCTGCTGAGACAATATAATGGTTATATTTATCCTTTTGCCATAAGTGTAACTCTCTTTGTGGGACAGAAAAAGGAGGTGGGTGGACTGTGGATAATTCTCTAACTTATTTGCCACTGCAGGAGGATAAAAGAGTACAATGACAAATTATATAGAGAAATTCTACCCGTTCATTTGCTGAAAGTCTGTTCCTTGATTGCAAGTTGATTACATGGGCAAAAAAGTCACATCTGACTAATTTCACACTAGATGATTAGATAAAATACCACATTATTGTTCTATTGAGGCAGACCACAAACACTTTCCACCTTAACCAAAAGGGTCACAAAGGGGAGATTACTTTCTAGTTTACAACAGAAATTTTTTAAGGAAAAAGATATTCAACAAAGAACCATTGGGCTGCTCTAAGAGCCCAGGAAAACCATGACTGACTGGGGATGCTTCTACTTTTACATGCAAACACAGAAGCACTAAACTGTTATCTAGGATTATGTGGCATCTTCTGCATTTATTCTGTGTTTGGTGTTTATCTTCCTTACCTGACTCTCTGAGGAATCTCTCTGAACCTACACTAGAAAACTAATTAGGGTTGAGGCTCAGGTATGAGCTCTACCTGCCACCAGCCCCATTTCCCCTCTTTGACTTGCTCCTGGAGTGGATTTGTCCTGCAGCAGCCAGAGCTCTGCAGGCTCTGAGTGGGGACAGCTGGGCAGCACCAGGTCCCAGCAGGTGACAGAGAAAAAAACCCTGTTCTCTTTTCGAGTTCCCAGGCACCACTGGAAGCAAGAACAGCTAGAGCAAATGCAACTAGGCAATAACTTTTATCAGCAGACCAGGCTTTGGGGTTGGTACATCAACCTCTAGACCAGGGCTCAGAGCACTGGGAGTAGTAGGAGAAGAGTGATCCCTCAGTCACAATAGTAGGAGATTGTGCAACAAACATTGAATGCATTCCTCATCTCCACCCATACAAATAAACTGGAAAAGCAGTTGTTCCCTGGACAGATCTAAAGACACATTTTACAGAGTACAAAAACATCCATGGCTTTTATGTTGCATACAGTCTGCTCATAAAAGGATGTTGTTTAATGCAATGGGAACTGTAATACTTTACGCCTACTAGCTCTGGGCTATCAGCCCTTTTCCTAGAAAGGATGCCCTCAGCAGCAGAATCACCCTCAGCTGTTCCTTGCTTGCAGGGGAGGAGAAGCAGGAAGAAATTGGGTCTCCAGTAAGTTCTTCAGTAAGGGCTGGTGTGAAGCATTCTCCTGTTCTTTAGAAGGGCCTGGTGTGAAGCATTCCCCTTTGGCTTTCAGATCAATATTGGTGGAGATTAAGAGGGAAAGGATCCTTTGGAGAGGCAGGATCGTAGCCATGCCCATTTGCTTTACTTTTGTTGTAGAAGAAAATTCCTGGCAGTCAGGTTGACCAAGAGGTTACATTACCACCTTCCACAGCACTTGGGGTCAGATGAAAACAGGGTGATGCTGTTTGCAGACAGAAGGCAGAAAGTTTTGGTTTAGAAAGATTGATAGATTTGAACACATACATACACATGTACTTTAAACCTGCAATAAGAAAGACAGTGCTTGGGAGTAAATAATACTATAGTACAACAATTAGTTATACTACTATATGACTGCATTGTGTGGGAGGATTTAAAAAACCTGTCAGTCCTAAAAGTGAAGAATTCCTGATGAGCTTCACATCATCATTTACATGAAAATTGCTTTGCCTTCTCACTGCTCCTGAAAATCTCTATTTTATTTTCATTGCAGCTGACACAAAAAATAGTCCTTGATCATTCTGTGTCCTGGAGAGCATTGCAGAGATCCAGCACACTGGACCATCCACACAACAAAATGTATGCTTTTATAAAATTATCAGCTTTTCCACCATGCTGTTACATACTAACCCATCCATCAGTATCGCAGTGATGTTATTTGCATTCTCCAGTAAAATGAATGGTAATACACTTATAGCCACACAGGATACCAGCAGCTTAGGATGTAAACAAGACTTAATTAATAGAGTAGCTAAATTTTAACTGATGCTGTGGCTTCAGTTCTGTTCTTTGCTTTTGGCAGCTTCACTAACTAATACAATTCTCCAAGGTCAGCTACAGTGACAGGAGTTATTTGTTTGGATCCAGTACTCACCCCCCAAAAAAAATCTGAATCCAGCCAGAGCCTTAGTTTGGCTTTCAGGTGAATGAACACTGCTCAAAGGACACCATGAATATATAGATTTAATTTACTGAGTAGCATGCTTCATATTTTCTCCACCAAGAAGGATGGAGAGCTGCAAGTCAGGCTTTTCTCTTTGCCCAGCTTTCCTGCTATGCACAAGGAGCAGATGCTGCAGAGTGAATCAACAGGCAGCCTCGCTCAGGAAAGGCTCTCAGGGAAGTGCTTTGCTTTATCCAAAGCACCCATGACAGCTTTGCTCTGGGAAAATGGGGAGTGCAGCATGTGTCACTGAGCAGCAGTCCCTGTACAACGTTGTAATCAAATATCTATGAGGAAGGTTCATTTCTACACCTTAAACTGCAAATAGAGATCTGTTTTGTCTTTAACCACAGGGAGGATATGGAATATGAAAATCTGGAGCTTTGGAGATTTTCATATCTGAAGATATCAAAAAGACAGGAGAAAGTCACTCGTTCTTCTGCTACCAGAACTGGCGATCCTCTTCTTAGGCATGTGGAAACCCCACCTGAAGCTCTTCTGAGATCTCACCAGGAACACAAGTTACAGCCTTTAAAACTCACATGGGAAAACAGCTGAAGCTTTTGAAGGTTTTCAGGACTTAGGCTTGATTTTTTTTCCTGATTTTTTACATAAACTAGTAGTGAAGAGACAAAAAACTCAAGCCTGCTACTGAAGACCCCTTGGTGAACATAGGGGCAGATAGGGATGCTTGGAGTGGCTCTCTAGCAGGCAGTGCTAGAGAGGTCTGCTCTAGACCTGCTCTAGACCTAGCAGGTCTGCTTCACAGACCCTGGCAGCATGGGGTGCAGTCACAGGGAGACAAGAAGGAGGCAAAGCACCCTGTGAGCTGCCGAGACCGGTGTTTCTCAGCCTTTCCTTTTTACAGGATGGCCCCTCCTTTCAGACTTCCTACTACCTCTAGTCTTTTCAGCACACAGGCAAACACATCAGTGATCCTCTAATTGGTCTGCATGTGGGCACTTGTGTGTTGTGAGAAGCTGCTGAAGAACAGAGAGCCTTGGAGGACCTGAAGGTGCAGAAGTCTGGGCAGGGTTCTATTTCCACTGTCATAACTTTCCATTACCTCAGGTCTCTGCCCCATGACTGCCCTCCTCCCACATGCACATATTCCTGTTCTCTGTGTCAAAATGAGAAAACACCACTTTCCCTCCATCAGGCTTTTCACCAAAGGATTGCATCCCCTTCTTCTCCCTCATCCAGAGCTGAACTAGCTGCTTCAGTAATAGTGGTAGGCCCACAGTAATTATCCATTTGGTGCTGCATGAAAGGTCTCTGCTCTACCATCCCCTCATGGCAGAATTGATAGACAATTACTAAAGCTGCTAATTAAGCATATTAGAAAATATAAAACACTAAAAGCTCTGCTTCAAGACTGCAGCAAATGTCATACACTGATCACATGGAGGACAGGACATGAGCATGGGAGCATTAGCTCCAGGCCAGGTGACAGATGTTCCTGTTTTACTGGCATCCACCAATTACATGGCAATCACTCTTTAAATAAATAATGTTCACATTTCATTGAATCTCGCTGCATCTTTCTTGCCAGAAGATGTTTCATTTGCTGGTCTTTCCTTTGCTTTTTACTGTTTCTGCTGAAGTTAGTAGGAATTTAGTCTTCAGTGAAATGCCATGTTAAGACATGTTGACTGTTGCATACAGAGGAAAGGTCTGTTCTTGTGGCCAATTATTCTTCAGCTTAGAAGGACCCCTCAGAATTATTCTGATATAGTGGAAAACGGCTAAGTATAATGTAACTGTGGTTACCTGTAAACTCAGTTAATGATTAGGGTCTCCTTTTCACTGCTATGGCAAAACTGTGATCTTTCCCCTGGGATCATTAACTAGTAAATACTTATGAGATGACTTTTTGTGCTGACTCTCTGCTGATGATGTGCTTCAGAATATGCATCAAACAGAGCCAGCAGGTTCCTGTCAGCTGGCCTGGAGCAGATTTTCCTCTTATTTGAAGGCAATTAGTGTTTGATCATATATTACCACTCATCAGCTCCCCAGCAAGCCTGGAGCAGGGCACCTTCACTCACAGTTTGAGTTCCCCAGCCCTTTCTCTATGCTAGGCATTCAGAAACTGCATGCTTTTACGTTTATCTCTTCTATAAAGGATAATGCATAATGCCACAGGGTCAGCCTTTTTTTACCCCCTTTCATGCCACATGTGAAAGCTGCAATGCCCCACTCCTTCCCAGAGCACAACATTGTTCATGTGTTTTCCTCCCACCTGAGAAGCTTCACGGGACATGAGCAATGCAAAGCCTCCTGAGGAGCTGGAAAACAAGGTCCTCCTCAGAGAACGTCACTAAAGTCCTTTCTACGTAGTTCAACACAGAAAACCATACCAGAAACTTGCCCTGTCAGCACCCCAAGCCTTACCCTGATTAACTGTAGGTCACTACTGCCTGCAAAGAGGCCCAGAAGAGAGCAGAGCTCTTGGCCTGAGCTCAGAGGGGCACGGTGGTGCCTGGCTGCTGCTCTTCCCTTCCTCCCTGTGAGCAATGCCTCCACGGAGGAGAACAGCAAGTGCCCTGAGCCTGCTTCCCAGACCTGGGTTTCACAGCTCCTTTCACCACAGGGATGAGGCTCAGTGAACCAGAGTGAATCACACCAAATGAGGCTTAACTCGAGGTAAGCCCGAGTTAATTTAGAATTGCAGAATCATTAAGGTTGACAAAACCCTCTAAGACCAGCAAGTCCAACCATTAACTCAACACTGCCAGGTCCTTGAGTAAACCATGTCCCCAAGCACCACATCTGCACATTTTTTTAACACTTCCAGGTGATGCTTCTACCCTCTCTCAGCCTCAAATTATTAGGCTAGCCCAGAGATACGAGGCCTTGAGAGGAAGAACATCAGGAGATGGGTAAAGATTCAAAAGAGTCTCTCACCCCGATGTGGTTGTCCAGCTTCTTTATTCCATGAGGTCCGAGGGGAAAGAGAGGGGGAAAGAGGGAGAACAGGAAGGGTTGGGGCTTATCTAGGCTCTGGACAGGGAGGGCTTCTCTGGCTCTCCACCAACCCCATCAGGGCAGGAAGGAGGGGACCAGGCTTATCTGATCAGTCACAGGGGTCCCTGGAATTGGGGAAAAGCATAGCCTGAGCGCAATGTAACATCCAGGCATGGTAATTCCACTACTTTCCTGGGCAGGCTCTTCGAGTGTCCTTTCACTGAAGAAATTTAATCAGGTTAAACTCGAGAAGACATCTGATGAAAAGTGGGTGCTTCTAAGAGCCTCGTGTCCAGTGCCATCGCAAAGAGGAGTCACCTCTGCCTGCCTAAAGCACCAAATCCTTTCGGCACTCCCCAGGCTCAGTCCCTGCTGGTGCAGCACCGCCGCACACCCGATGACAAAATCCTTCCCGAGCAGGGCTGGGGGCAGCTCCGGAGACGGCCCCGGGAGCGGCCGATTTCCCGGAATCCTGCCCGAATCCTGCCCGAATCCCGCCCGGCCCCGCCGCTCCGAGCCCCTAGATGGAGCTGCGCAGCCGGGAATGAGAGCGGCACCGTCCCGCCCGGCTCGGCATCGCCCGGCTCGGCATCGCCCGGCTCGGGCCGCCGGGAGAGCTCAGCCCATCCGACAGCCCTGGAAGGATGGCTGGGTCTGGAGGTTTATTTATCTTTCATTAAATCCCATGTTTTAAGCCTTTTCTAGAAGCTGGCTGCACTTTTCTGAATTTTTTTCGGTATAGAAGAAATCATAGCTGAACCCTCATCAAATAAGTTTATTTCTGGCTGTTAAAGGGAGCTGTTAGTTTACTTGCATAATATTTTATAACCCACCATCTATTTCTCATTTCCAGCCTGCAGCTTTTAAGTCCTTACTTGCTCTGCTCATCAGTGAGCTGCGAGAGACCTGAACAGAGGCTCAAACCACACCAGCACCTGTGAGGACCCAGCAGCAGCAGAGTCCCCAGCACACGGCTGTCCTTGCACTGAGACCGCTGGTGCACATCACAGCCCTTTCTGCAGCAGACCTGGGGCAGGCTCAGGGGGGCAATGAAAGGCTGGACCTGAGTTCAGAAAGAGCAGGAGCTGGTGATGCTCACACCAATCCAGACTTCACTATAGGTAATAACCCTGAAATTCTATCTAAATGATGACTTTTATTGTGTGTTTTGCTGGGATACAAATACTTTTTTTTTTATGAAGTTAATGCTGTATAGCAGAAATCACAGACTGAGCTCTGAAGAATCTACATTAACACTTCATCAGGCCAGAGTCTGACCTAAAGGGTATGAAAACAGAGGAAACTGCTGTTGCCTTGGGTGAACACTGGCAGGTTGCTACAACTACACTGCGGGGGAAAATTGTGCTGTGCATTAGCTGTGTGAGAGCAGCCAGCCTGAAGGTGACAATTTCCCAAGACAAAATATCTCATCTACCCAGAGACTAGGTCAGGTGTAAACACCCTTCTCCTTTGATACAGAAAAGCATAATTACAGTTCCTGAAGCTGCTCTGGGAAGAACACTAATAACTTTTCCCTGCAAAGAAAATGAAACTCACAGCAATGCCTTTTTCTTCTCCCTTTCATCCATAAAATGATGGCCAGGAACTCCCTCAGATATGTATTTTTTCACTCAGCACATGCCACTTCTGATCAGTTGGGCTAGATCCATCCACAAAAGATGCTGAACAGTTGGTGTTTAGCCCACACAAAATCCCATCCACATCCACAAAACAAGGTTTTCCTTTACTTTTCTCACCTACAGGACTTGATTCAGCTGATATTTTCGGAGCATACAGAAGCCAGAGAAGCAACTATTGTCCTCAGCTCATTTGCCCAGATTCAGTGGTTGTGTGGTCATCCCAGATTGAGGAGAAATGGGCTTTACTTTTGGGATACACCTCTTATTGGGACTGCCCCCAGCTATCTAGCAACAAACGAGTCTGGGATGGCTTTCTTATTCTGTTGATTTTACATAATGAATAGTCCTTCTTGCTTTCAAACTTCTAGCATTTCACACAACCCCCAAACCAATCTCCAACACACTCAAAGATTTTTTTGAGAAATAAGATTCATCTTACAAGTGTGAATGTCTAAACATCACTCAGAATGCAGTAACATCTTCTCAGCCCTGCTTGGTGTCACAGGCACCCCAGCCCAGTGTAGTGAGATCCAGGACCAGAGCAGAGCAGGGAGGTGTAGGGATGGTTGCACATCTGAATGGAACACAGTAGAAACAACTCCTGAAAATACAAAAAAGAAGGATGTGTTATCTGCTAGTGAGGGAAAGGAAGCCTTACTTTTTCCCCACACTATATGGTGGTTGTGAAATTTTTCATAATCACAAGTAAACAAGGTGTTTTCATGCCTCACTCAACACACCATGCCCCAAAATACCTCGGCTTGCTCCTCTCACAACAGGCAAAAAAAACATAGTATTCTGCAACTTGGGTTTTAATTTTGCAGCCCTGTATCCCTGTACAAGTCTGGGCTGGTTTTATGAATTCTGATGATGTGTTGCAGCCTAATGTGGCAGCCTGATCGATGCAGACTGAAGGAAGGGAAGGGGGGATTTAATAACCCTGGCCTGGGCACTGAGCTGGTAATGAAGAAGGGTTGTTATTAGTCATTTGCATAACATAAAAGGAGATCCAGATCTAGGCTTAATAAATTCTTCCTCATATAGAATAACACAGTTATAGCCATTTCTATAAAAATGTCAAAGCCTTTATGTGAAGTAAGTATTCCTTCAGAGCATAAAATACAGGCCTACAACTCAATAAAATCACTTGTATCACTACACTGATTTCTTTGAAGTGTCACAAAAAAGGGCAGGGTTATGAACTGAAGCATCATTCTTCTCACCTGGGATGTGAGACAGCACAATGATAAGAAGGGCTCAGGTTAGGGTGCAAGAACTAAACTGGGGACACTGAGGAGCAAGTATAGAGAAGGAAAACCCTGAGTGTGCATCTACTCTTAAATCACGCTGTCTTTTCTGTTTAGGTGATGCTTTGGCCCTGAGAAACTCATCACCCCAGATTAGGAGGTAACAATTGGCTCAGAGGTGGTCAAACCCCCAGGCAATGGAGGTGGTTGCATTGGGCAGCCGGGCAGCAAACAACAACCCATCACTGTGCAGCTTGTTTTGGTACCAGGCACAACTTGCAGAAGGCAGATTCAGGTTCTAAAAGACAACTGGTGATGCTCTGTGTGGAAAAAATTACTGCAGCAGTGGGGAAGGTGCAGCTGTGAGCAGCCTGTGGGAGATGGAGATGATGTTCCAGGAGTCTCAGCCACTTGCTCCGTGTATTTTCCTGACTGGAATTGTCCCCTTGGAGAGCTGCACATGCCCCGTGCCTGGGGCAGTGTCTGAGTTGGTACACAATGCTCTGGCCCCTCCAAGCACTGCAATCTGGAACATCGTTTATGGATGTGCAGAGACATGCAGTAAAATATATATTTACTTCTCTACGTAGTCCTGAGAACAACTTTTCATCCTTATGATGTAGGCACCTCCCAAAGCATTGATCCTGCCACAGAGCAGTGCCTCAGGGCTGTTTGCTTGAGAGCCCTAAACTTGGACTGGTCTAAGAGAGACAGGAGTACTGAGAAGCAGTGGGCTAGTCAAGTCCTTTCACAAACTGTGTATGTTAAATTCATGTTCCAGGCAGCTTTAAAAGCATCTGTGCACCTTCATTTAAAAAATTTAAATTGTGACAGCTCACACCAAGCAAAGGAGCTTTTCAGGGCTCACACTGACCATGCTGCACATCTACAGCCTGGAAGCACTCTGAACTCAACATGTCTGGAGAGAAGTTTGAGGTATCAACTTTGCACCCTTGGCTCTTCCAATCAGCATTTTCCCCTGAGGGCATCTTCTAAAACCCATGGAGCTTCTGGGCAATAAGCATACATATTCATTAAAACAATCTTTTATTAAATTTGTTAGAAAAAACTTTTACCAAGGGGAAAAATACACCACCTGTAATTTTAGAAGTAATTTTCTCTAGTCCCATCAGTTATTCTCAGAGATAATATTACTTCAATAGCAACAAGATTCTCCTGCACTACTACAGAGCCTTTCCTCCCCAAGTGATTTGAAACCTGCTTCACCCTTCCCTGTCCCCCAGAATTGCAGCAGAGTTTCAGGCCACACAAGGGGAACATGGTTATCTCATCCAGCTCACAAGCCAAGGCCCATGGCTGGGATGTGACCACCTGGAGAGAAAGACATGTTTTTGTTTGGAAAGGGGCAAACTGAGCCCAGCTGTCTGCCATGCACAGAGGCCTGTACCTACATTCACAAATATTCAGACATCATGAGGGATTTGGGTTGTAGTTCTGCAAGGTGTGAGAAATTTGTTTTTAGGCTCAGAGCACTTGATGAAAAACATCACAGTCACACAACACAGCCCAGCAGTCAGCTACCAGCCTGACCAACCAACTCAGATCTGCTCCAGACTTTCCAAGGAGTGACTTGAGGGCAGAAATTTCCACCCCAGGTGGAACACCAGATGTGCTCCTGTAGCCAGCACAAAGCACACAGACTAGCACACTGCAGCGTGGCTATGCCTTTGTGCAGACATTTGACCCTGGAAAATGTTCAGGCAGATGGAATCACATGAATCCAATACTTAATCAACTGAAATTGTCCAACATTCTCAGTTCTGCTCCCAGGTACCACACAGAGTATCATGCATTACAATCTGCTCATTTGGTTGAGTTTAGGCAACCTGAAGAGTAACAGTCCTCAGGGTATTTGACACAAATTACCCATTCTACAAAATGGCATGAGTCAATGTGGAGATTTTCAGGCTATCTCAAAGCTTGGAAAAACTTCATAAGCAAATTGCATGGTCCCACTGAGATCCACACTCCTGATTTCACTGAAGGATGCTGAACTAGTAATCTTCTCTCTTGCTTTTTGAGAAAGAATATATTTAAAACCACACAAACACATGTATGTAACATACAGCTGTGATTAGCACCACAGTGATTAGCAGATATTCTTTGCAAGACAAGGGAGGAATACAGCCAGTTATATACACACCAACTTCCACATGCATATAAGACATTCTCCTTGCAGGGGAAATTATGGTACATGGGGTGAATAAATCATCCCAGGCATATTTGGGGATGTCCCACACTCCCTCACCACTCCCTCAGGAAACAGAACGTGGAGAAGCTAAAATAAATTGGAGAGATGAGCAGTAATTTATTTTCCCGTCCAGAAAAGATAATTTAACTACTCAATTAAACATTGCCTAAAGCCATACTATTAGAGTTGCATATCCCATCTGTAACGCAGATGGATTTTGCTCTCTTATTACTGGTCTTCATGCTGTCTGCTACTTAAAAATTCTGGTTTAATTAGATGACACCTTCCACAAATGCTGAGCTATTGGCACATAATTCAAGCAGTATCTAGGAATTTTTGCCATCCAAGAAACCTTCTGTAGGAATCTTATGTTCTCATATCTCTGGTACAAAAGATCAGGTTGCAAGCAATACTGAATGAACTGATGATATATTATTTCTTACTTTGTATTATTTTGAAGCACAGGGCTTCAGTCTGGGCTCTTTTCTTTCATTTTTTCAGTAGTTGTCACCCAAGATCATCCACAAATCAGATAGTTTTACAATCTATTTTTCATTGATTTTTCTCAAATGCTGATTCAATATTGAAACAGATAATTTTAATACTGAATTAAGAAGTGAGTAACCTCATTATGAGGAGATTTCATTCACTGCTTCCTCTGGGCACTGCTACAAGTGAAGCATTTCAGGAGCCTGGAAATTCCTCCAATCTCCTTGTCACCCCCTTGCCCTGTCTGCACCCACAGGCAATTTCCCTGCAGCAAATGCAAAAACCTGCAAGTTTAAGGGGCACAAACACACAGTGGTGCTCAGGGGTTCCAGCTGAGAGGTGGAAAAAACAAGGATCCACAGACTTGTGCATGGGAAACTGAGGGACATAGTTTATTGGCAAGCAAGGAAGTGCTGGGTTATCAGCTGAACTTGATCATCTTAGAGCTCTTTTCCAGCTTAAATGACTCTGTGATTCTATGACTTCTGCCTTAAAAGTCTGGGGGAACTTACATGTGGTTGAGAATTTTGCACCACAGGTTCAACTGAATGAGCTGGAATGTTTTGCTTTCTCATGAGAGCTCTCTCTCTCTCTCTCTCTCTCTCTGTCCAGAAGCACTTTGTGTCTCAGACTCCTATGGCATCCCTCTAGCTCAGTGGGGAACTAAGCAGATACCACTTTATTACCCCATATATGGTATTTTCCATAATCCTTTTTGTCTAACAACTGTTTTCAGGATGGGAGATTCCCTCATGCTGGGTGCTGTATGAACACAACATACAATCAGTGTTTCATAAACTCCTTGATGAAGACATTAACTTTGATTAACTTTAACATTAACTTGATTAACATTAACATTAACTTTGGGGAAAACAGAAGGATTTTCATATATGATGAACAGATCTCCTACAGTCACTGCTCCTGAGTGTCTGGGATTATCTAGTCAGCTGCATTATCAGTGACATCTTTAAGCATGAGAAGCAGTATTCTTTGTTCCATTTCATCCAAACTGCTATGAATAAAGATTTTGTTGTCCATCTTATTTTTGTAACTCTATTAAATTTTTTACCTTAACAATGTCACCTTTGAAAACACAGTAAATTCTGATTTCTTTATATTCTACTACTTTCACAAGTCATAGGAATCAGCTGAGGCAAAAAGGATGATGGAAGGTGCAAAAGCATCTGTTTAGGTTGTTTGAATGATTTTGGTTTCAGTCTACTTCACTCCTTTGCTGCTTACTTGGTAGCAGTGGTTAATGGAAGAGTTTGGGACAACTCACTCAACCTTCAGACATCCCTGGGGATGGCAGGAGGATTGGTAACTCTTAGACAAACAACTGTGAGTACCTTCTATGTTCACTGGACCCTGCAGGTTCCATAAAATCCCACGAAGACAAAGCCAGGAGGCTGATTTCCTTCAAAGAGCCTTAGAGGTAGTTTTAAAAAATGAATTTAAGAAAATCCAAAAGATAATTTCTTCACTGTTAGATTTGTAGCAGAAGCTCATCACATATATCAGATCCCTGGGTACATATGCAGATGTTTCAGCCATATGCAACAGCATATGGCATGTTTCTCTCAATAACTAGTCTTTTTTTCCTGTGTAAGGCTATGAAAACAAACATGAAGTGTCTCAGCCAGCTTAGGACAG